TGATATGCTTGGATTATAATAATACTCTCTCTCTTCCTCTGCTCTTCCTATCCCTAGATTCTTTGGATTTTCTATTCTTTTTTTTATTTCTTCTTTGATTTTCTCATTATGCTTATCTAGCTCACCATTACTCTCCATCACCTTCAATTTATTTTTTATATCTTCAATTGGATCACTTTCTGATATCTCCCATACTCGACCTACTACTCCTAAATCTTTAGCATCTGCTGTTAATGTTAAATATATAAAAACTATTGCTATAAATATAGCTGCTATAATTATATAAATTAAATATATGTAATTTATACACCTATCAAAATCACATCTTTTCTCTTTTTTATTTTTATCCTTTTCCATAAACCCTCTCAGATACTTCTCTTATCGCATCTCCCATATCCATACCACTTGCAACTAAACTCTCTACCGCCTCAAATTCCTCTGCCTTACTAGAATATAATATTTTTGTATATGGGTCTGCTATAAACCTTCCTACACTTGATCCGCTCTCATGAATTATCATAAATTCTGAATATTTACCTTGCTGCGTCCTTATTGTCTCCATCACCCTCTGCGACGCTTCATCTATTTCAAACTTTCCTGCATTCTTTAACTGCTCTATCGACTCCTTCTTCTGCGCAAACATTATTAACCAATCACTATTCATAAATACAGCTTTCGATCCATCATTCTTATAGAAATCCTCTAAATTTTGTGTTCCAGCTATCAATGACCCATTATATTTCCTTAAAGTCCTTGCTAGCTTATCCATAAACTCTGCTGTCTTTTTCCCTGTAAGCATATTCCATGCTTCATCAAATACTATGCTGCTTAAATATTTCCTATCCCCAAGTATTACTTTATTTGTAATCGTAACTATCAATATCTGCAATACTACAGCTTGAAGTGACGGCTTGTTCTTCAACTCCTCTAACTCAACTACACAATATCTTGAGTCTAAATTTATATTTGCCTTACCATTAAAATGTTTACCATATACACCCTCTTCTGTGTAACTATATAACATTTCTCCAATCCTTTGGCATAAATCTCTATTCTCTTTTCTTGCTTTAAACCATCTTGCTATATCACCTATCCCTGCATTAACACCTTTTGCCTTCCATACTTCAATAAGCGCCTTTTCAATAAGTACATCTTCAAAATCATTAGTACCTGCTTTAGGTGCTATCATCATCGATATA